TGATTGGACACACAAGGAATTTCCCTTGGTGCAAATACTCTCAGTGAAAAGATACATTTGTCAAGAATCATCAGGTACAACACTTAATAATAGTCCTAGGGTACAATAAGCAATCAAATCATACTAGGTAACAGTCCATATAAATCGTAAGGATACAAGCGACAAAATTACAGTCGTACAGTCACAAGTGGGAGGGGATGGGTGATAAGGAGTGATGAGAAGATTAACAGTAATAGTAGTGCAGACTTTGTAAATAGTTGGACAGTGTTGAGGGAATTATTTGTTTAGCAGAGTGATAGCGTTTGGGGAAAAACTGCCCTTGTGTCTAGTTGTTCTGGTGTGCAGGGCTCTATAGCGTCGTTTTGAGGGTAGGAGTTGAAACAGTTTCTTATGTCCGGGATGTGAGGGGTCTGTAAATATTTTCGTAATTTATAATTCATATTCTTCAATGGGACACCTCCATAGCCCAGAGTCATCAATCATACTCTCTGGTTAGAATTTTGCACAGCAGAAACTTCAATCACCTAGTTACTATCTCTGAAAACATTTATGGAATGCACTTTCAGTTTGCAAGCTGCCGCACTGCTCCCCCCTCCCTTTCTGTTGGTAACTCTAAAAAGACCATAGAAATATTTTATGAGTTGACAGTCAAACTATTTACTACAACTGTATTACTATTCTTCTTCTCATCCTTCCTATATTACCTATCTCTTCCCATTTATGACTATAACCATGTTGCTTACACCTTTACGATTTATATTGTTTTATTTGTTTTACTAGTATGTTCTGATTGCGTATTAGTAACCTATGTAGGATTTGATTGCTTATTAGTAACCTATGACAATTGCTAAATGTTTTATCTTATGATTCTTGAAGAATGTACTTTATTTTTTCTTTATGTACACGGAGCACCTATGCACCGGAGACAAATTCCTGGTGTGTCCAATCAGAGAATTCTATTCTATTGTAAAAATGGCATAGGCCCTCCTTGCTTGAGCAGGGGGTTGGAGTAGAAGAACTCCAAGGTCCTTTCCAGCTCTATTCTGATTGATAATTATCAAATGCCTGAAATGAATTCAAGATATACTACATCCAGAGCATGTTCTCGGTCTACTAATCTAGTCACATTGTCTCCCCCAAAAAACCATAAGAGGTCTCTGGCATGACTCAGTTGGACTAGATCAGGGGTCGCCAACCTTTTGGACCTCAGGGACCACCAAACTCCATACTTTTAAATCCCGCGGACCAGAGACCCTGGGAAAAAAACCCAAAAAAGTCTGCAGGAAAGTTTCCCATCCCGTTTTCCTACCGATCGATCGTTCTTTATTTGGGATCGCAGGATACCGTCTCCAGCTCTGTTCTCAGGGGGAGAGAGAGAGAGAGAGACTTTTGGCTTCATGCAAGGAAAGCAGCAGAAGCAGCAGAAGTCTTTCTTTCTCTCCCCCAAACCCCGCCAGAAATGAGTCTCTGCTGGCGCAGCCTCTTGGAGCAGGAAGCCTTGCAGGGTCCCAAAGACTCATTTCTGGCAGAGTTTGGGGGAGATGCAGAAAGACTTTGGCTGCTTTCTTTGCGTTCAGTCAAAAGCAGAAGAAGAAGCGGAAAGAAGCAGCCCGGTGGCCAGGTCAGGTGCGTGGGGCGAATGGGGCAAGTCCTCCCCTCCGTCCTTCCCCCCCTCCCCTCACTACCTCGTGTTGTTCGCAATGCAAGCGATGCAAGCCTTGTGTTCCCATGGGCCATGTGGGTGGTGCAGCCTTGTGTTCCTGTGCAACCTGGATTAATTGCTTTGGAGGGGGGCGGACATTTTTCTGCTGACCACCAAAATTTTCTCATGGACCCCGGCCCATTGTTTGGTGACCACTGGACTAGAAGACCTCCAAGGTCCCTTCCAAATCTATTCTGATCAATTGGCTTTCCATCTACGTTGGACGTCCTGCTTGCAGCCAGCTCTCTCCATGGCCGGATTCCACCTTTGGGTTGTGATCTGCTTTGGAATTCCTGGATCTTCATAATGGCTGTGAGCCATTTCATTCTTTGCATTTCAGAAGTGTAAACTAAAGATATTCCTCACTTTACGGCCATTTGTTCAGCATCCAACGACAGCACTGAAAAAGAGACCCAGGACTGGTCCTCGCACTTATGACTGTCACAGCAACCCCATGGTCCCACGATTGAAATTTGGGTGCGCGGCCACTGGCCTGTGTTTATGATGGTTGCAGGATTCCCAGGCTCAAGAGGTTCCCCATTTGCAATCTTTCCAGCTGGCTTCCGACAATGGGGATTCATTTAATGACTGCATGATGATTCACTTAAGAACTGCAGTGATTCGCTTAACAAAGAAAACTTGTTTCTTGCCGTGTGGCAAGAAAGCTTGTAAAATCAAAGCGAGTCTCACTTATATAATCATCGTCTTTCTTAGCACTGGAAAATTCAGCTGCCATTTGCGGTCGTAAGTCAAGGATGACCTGTAGGAAGGGACGTTGATTCCCCATTTCAACCACTAGCAACCACTTGCAGAAAAGAAAGCTTCCTCCGTTGCAGAACGCATTAAAATCCCGGGATTCCAACTGTAGTCGTAAGTCGAGGAGTAAGTAAGTTACTCTTGTAAGTTCTCCTGTGTCAAAATGCTCAGGATAAGCCACAGTTTTAATGGCCAGCGAGGTGGGCTTCATATTTGGCCCTGGATTTCAGAGAGCGCAGAGCTCCGGTGTTTCCAAAGCAAATTGCCAGCAGACCATTTCTTTAAATTAACTCGGCATCGGCGGAAATCACCCGAAGAAAGAAGGAAGACGTGCAGGTATTAGAAAGGGAGAATTCACAAGTGCAACTCTCCAACCCCTGAGCTTTATGTCTGCTTGGGGCTCTCCCATGCCCTCTGCTGCTCGGAAAGGAGAGGCATGGCCTTCTCCAGCACGGAAGGAAAGTCATCTGCGCACCGAATAAACGAGCCGCAGAAAGACTTTCGAGACTCGTTAAGACGGACCTTGGAGGAAAGAGGAACATTAATTGGAGGGAGGCGGCTGCATTACAAAAACCACACTGGCAAACGATGGCAGTCCAGGCTCTGCTAGGAAGCAAGATCCCTGGAATATGGCATCCAGTTTGGGTTGCCGTGATATTTAAAAAAACAAGATGATCAGGGGACTGGAGGATAAAACATACGAAGAACGGTTGCTGGGATTGGGTAGGTCTAGTCTAGTGAAGAGAAGGACCAGGGGCGATATGATAGCAGTCTTTCCAATATTTGAGGGGCTGCCACATAGAAGAGGGAGTCAGTCTGTTCTCCAAAGTATCTGAAGGCAGTGTGTGATGACCCAAAGGGGCGTGGCACAAAAGCAACAAAGTCCGTTTAATTCCTCCAACTTGGCCCCCAATGTCCAGTTATCATTCGGCTGGAGCAAAAAACTCTCCCAAGAAGCAGTTTTTAAAGGGAAGAAATTCAGTCCGAACCCAAAGTACATATAGATTATAAATAAAAACCAGCGCAAACCACAACTGCAGCAATTAACACGACAGGGCAGGATAAGGAATTGCAGAACTCAGAAGATAACGAAACACACACAGTTGGGAGGACGCCAGAACCCAGATAAGACTTGACAAACAAAGATAATGTACGCTTTGCTTCCAGCAAGGTTCTGTGCGCAAACACCCTTTTTATCCTGTCTTCCCAGCTGCAGCTAATGAAGGGAATCAGAGCCTTTTTCTCCCCCGTAACCCATGTTACTCCCTTATCCGTTCCTCCCTGCGTGCCCTAGGATGAAGAGGGGGTGGGCCTGGGTCTTCCTCTGAATGTCCAGCCAGACTGTGCCCTTCCCCCGTTTCCTCCACAGCCACCGGAGCCACATTCCCACTCCCTGTCAGCTGCTCAACCTCCCCTTCAGAATCAGATTCCAACAGGGGCAGGACACAGAGGAAGAAGAAGCAACGGATGGAAACTCATCAAGGAGAGGAACCACCTAGAACTAAGGAGAAATTTCCTGACAGTTACAACAATTAATGACTTGTCTCTAGAAGTTGCGGGTGCTCCAACACTGGAGTTCTTGAAGAAGAAGACTGGGCAACCCCAGGGGTGGGATTCAGCCGGTTCGGACCGGTTCGGGTGAAACGGATGTTAAATTTACATCTGGTTCACCAAACTGACCGGCTGGCCCCGCTCACCCCACCCCAACCCTTCCAGGAGTCTCCACGCTGCCTGTTTCAGATGCAGGTAAGTGCAGGGTTTGTGCAGAGGCTCTGGGGATGGTGAAAAACGGCCCTCCCGTAAGTTCCGGAAATCTGGAAACAGGCCTCTGGAGCCCGGGGGAGGCCGTTTTTGCCCTCCCAGAGGGCACTTTGTCATGTCATAAGTATCCGTCACACAAATCTCAAGTCATATTCTTCTAACACCAAAAGGCTTTTGTTTCTGAGCAACATCTGTTTTTCATCCAAATTAAACAACAAGCTGTAAAGTAGAGTTTCAAATCAGGTAAGCCCAATCCTGTCTTTCTTTTACATCTTGTAACACCTTATATTTACCTGGACTCTGGGAAAGGCAAAAAGCAGCCTCCCTGGAAGTTCCGGTAGGCCACGCCCACCCAGCAACCAGGCAGAGAACTTGTTGTTGGGATTTTGGAATCCCACCCCTGGACAACCCTTTGTCTGAAATGGTATAGGCCTCCTGCCTGAGCAGGGCGGGGTTGGACTAGAAGACCTCCGAGGTCCCTTTCAAGTCTGTCATTCTGTTAGGAACACAATGATGGTTAGGAAGCCAGGGAGATCAACTCTGAGAGAAAGTTTCTGGTGTGACTAGAGTTTCCAGGAGTGCAGTGACTTCTAAAGGAAAAGATAGACCAAGGGGTTGTCTTGACAGATGGGACAGCCATTTGTCTGGGATTCAACAAGGTCTCCTACCTTGATTAGGGGGTTGGACTAGAAGACCTCCAATGCTCTAAGATTCTAGGTCACCAAAGCAGAACAGCCACCTGGCTTCCTAGAGGCAGGAGGAAGAGCAAACTCTGGCTTACCTTAAGATACAGAAGCAGGTCTTGGCCCCCGAGGACAAACGGCAGAAGCCGAACCTCTGTTTGCTGTCGATATCCGTGAGGACAAAGGTGAAGTTCTGACCCACCTGGCCCACCGTGAGGCTGGAAGTGAAAAGAAGAAAGGTGTCCATGAAGAGAGCCTGACACCTTCAACCTTGCACAGTCTCTAAACCAGGGGCTGTCCAACCTTGGCGACTTGAAGACTTGTGAAATTCACATCCCAGAAATCCCCAGGCTGAAGACTTGTGGAGGACGACCTTGGTATTCCCTTGGTGCCAATTTTCTTTAAAAAATAATTCTACTCTATTCTATTCTGTTTTTCTATTCTATTTTATTCTATTATTGGTTTCTATTCTATTCCATTGTTCTGTTCTATTCTATTCCATTGTTCTATTCTATTCTATTATTCTATTTTATTCTATTGTTCTGTTCTATTCTATTCTATTATTTGATTCTATTCTATTTTTCTATTCTGGTTTTCTATTCTATTTTATTGTTCAATTCTATTCTATTCTATTGTTCTATTC